CTTATTTGCTTTCCTTTTATTTTTCGAAAAGTTTCACATCAAAGAAATCTATATAGAAAAGCATGGAAACATGTAGGGGAAGAGAACAACAACTAAGCCATGCTACGCTGAACACTGATCTTGGTTCCAAACATATTACAAGCGATTCCTTTTTATAGTACAATCTTCTGCACTTAGAACTATGTTCCAGTGAGTTAAATGGAAATCTCCCCGAATTGCATTATAAAGCTCTGAAAATACAGTAAAGTGAATGGCTAAATCTTTAAACTTCATTGTATTTAACACTTTGAAACACTGCTGATACAATATCTTCATAATATAATAGCTCGCCAGTAAGTGCTCATAAAAGCTGCACTTTAAAAAGAAACAAAAAATATTAATTAATACTAATATTTTTAAAATTTGCTAACATTATCTTTAATTGAAAGGTTTATATATGGTTAGGTGGAGAAACAGATCTCAAAAATGTTCTCTTTATAAGTGATTCTTAACTTTTTGGATTTTCTGTTTCCTTGGAGAAAACAAATTAACATGATTTATGAAAGGATGTTAAAATGTTATTTTTTGCCTGTGGTGCTTTTGTAGTTTTACTTAAAAACACAACCACCAGCAATATATTTCTCTATACATATCTTTGGTTTCCAAGGGAAAATATTTTAAAGTATTTTCAAATGTTGCTCGTCTGAAAAAGTCATGTGAATTGCCATTCCAAGAAAGCAGGAGGGGAAAAAAAGCAATTTTACTTTTGTATAAGTAATATACACTGAAATGTAAGTGAACAACTGCAAGCTAACACAAATAATGAGAATTTTTTTGTTATTTTTAAAACTTTTAGAATTTTTACTGGCATTGATGGAATAAATCTGACCCCATGTGGCTCTAATTTAAAATTTTAGTTTTAATAGTTGAGAAGATCCTGAACTTGGCTCCTAATTTTATTTATCATATTTTTCTGATGTTAAGACGCGCCAGTGTATAAGACGCACCAAGATTTTGAAGAGGTAATTAAGAAAAAAAATTGCTTTCCCTCAGCCTCAAGCAGCACTCTGCAGGCTTTAGCAGGGCTGGGGGAAGGCAAAAATGCCCCAGTTTTTGCAAAAAACTGGAGGAAAATGGGCCATTTTTTACAAAATGGAGGCGTTTTTGCCTTCTCCCAGCCCTGCGGAAGCCTGTAGAATGCTACTGGCCAATGAGGGAAGGGAAAAACGCCTCAGTTTTTCACAAAAATGGGATGCAGGGGCGGGGCTTCGAGAGGCCAAAAATGGCTGTATTCGGTGTATAAGACGCACCAACATTTCCACGTTCTTTTAGGGGGGAAAAGGTGTGTCTTATACTCCAAAAAATACGGTAATTCCTGTTAATTTTAATGTTTTTATATTATTATATTTTTGCATATTGTAAGCTTCCCAGAGCCACTTTGGATAGGGAGTTGGGCAGCATATAAATGTAATAAATAAGCAAACATTTGTTTATGTCCAGTTCTTTTTAGTTGCTTCACTCATCTCTTCGTTCAATTGTTAAAAGCAGCTCATAAACATAGCTGCCAAGAAAATATTATTGAATGCCTGGAAACAAACCAATGCTAGAAATCAGCATTACAGCAAACTGGAATGAATCTCGGGTATTCAGCATACTATTTCATTCCATAAGTCCTGTTCTCTTTCCAAACCATTGCAATACAATACAGTAGTTGTTAACCTTTATTGGCACAGCACAGAGCTGTGATCAGTGGATGGGCCTCTGAGGAGAGAACTAAAACAAGCCTATCTAAAAACTGAAAACGGCATGTATAATTTGGAGAAGCGTATCCTCTTGAATGAGAAACCACACATAAAATCTGCTCTGGGATGACCCCTCAAGAGAAATACATCTTCATTAGCGAAGAGAACCACTGGCCTCCTGAGGACAACAGAATTATCTACCACAACCAGGTAAAATTTCCTGTTCTCTGCTACTGAGGCAAAAGATGGAGTGAGCAGGCATTCATGTTTGCAGAAAGAAGTCCTTTCTTAAATTTGTACCATGCAGAAGTTGTATCAACTTCTACTCAATGAAAGATTCATTGGCATAGATCAGTGTTTCTCAACTTGTGGTCTGTGGACCCCTTGTGGGGGAGGGGGGCACAATGTCATCACAGGGGGTCCATGATGGCTTGAAGAAATGTCATGATTTACTGTATTTTTCAGAGTATAAGGCACACCTCCCCCCCCCAAAAAAAGTGTGGAAATGTTTTTCACCCATTTTTTGCAAAAACGGGGGTGTTTTTGCCTTCCCCCAGCCCTGCTGAAGCCTGCAGAGTGCTCCTGGGGGCCAGGGATGTCAACAACCTTTTTTTCTTACTTACCTCTTTGAAATCTTGGTCCGTCTTATACACCAGTGCGACTTAAAGTCCGGAAAATGTGGTAAATAATGAGTTAGGTCTTGCGGGGTCTGTGACCATGGTCAGTGGCCACAGAAGATATTTAAAGGGGGGCCGTGGTGAAGAAAAGGTTCAGAATCACTGACATATATAATTTGACCAGAGGTGCCTAAACCTTTGCATGCAACTAGAGGTAGCCCTTGACCTGTAACCATTTATTTAGCGACTTTGAAGTTACAACAGCATTGAAAAAAGTGACTTCTCATCAGCCCTTGTGCTTACAACCATCAAAGCATCTCCATGGTCACCTGACTGTCTCCATCATCACATGATCACATAAATCCCCACCCACCCACTAGAGGTTTAAACTAAACTCCCTACCTTTGTTTTCCAATCTCTATCCCTCTAAAAGCAAGTCCCAGTTGGGTCTTAAAGGCAACAACAAAGAGGTTCGCAAGGACACAGCATGTCTCCATTTGCATGTGTTGTGCTGTAGCCTAAACTTTGAGCTGATTTTTTTCTGTAACTCCTCAAGGGGTCATTCCATGTGAAGTGGTTTGATTTCAGAAAAGTGCCCTGCTCGACCATTACAGATTTCGATGAAATTTGGTCTAAACATGCACAATATCCCCAGTTTATCAATGTTCATTGGTATTCAGTGTACCAATGAACATTGGTAAACTGTTACATTTGCGGATGCAATACTTGCGAAGTTCCAGCAACTTTGAGACAAAATATCTCCAGCAATATTCTGTTGAGAGAAACTAAACTTGGCCATCTTGTACCACTTTTTGTGCACAATTAAACAAAATAAAAAAAAATATTCTCATGCGCGATCTCCATCTAGATCAGGGGTGTCTACACTTGGGAACTTTAAGACTTGTGGACTTCAACGGCCAGAATTCCCCAGCCAGCCATGCATGGCTGGAGCATCACAGAGACTCGCGGAGGCGCTAAGACACATGCACATGTTGCACGTGTGTGTTCACGCACTGTGCACGTCCATGTGGACGCCGCCAGGCCCCTTCCAACCATACTGGTTGGAACGGGATCTGGAACCCACCACTGCTGCAGCCTTAGAATATAGTGTCTGTCTTATGGAGATTCTTAGTCATTCCGATCATGGTTGTCCCAATGCCTTTTCAAAAGGCAATTGGACTCCCACCCACCCTTTTTAGATGTTTCCTTTCTCATCCAAGTAGCTTCTTCAGTTCTGACTGAATGGTGGATGATGGAAGGATCTCTAGAAATGAGACTCTAGAAAGAGTGCAGAGAAGAGCAACAAAGATAATTAGGGGACTGGAGGCTAAAACATATGAAGAGTGGTTACAGGAACTGGGTATGTCTAGTTTGATGAAAAGAAGGACTAGGGGAGACATGGTAGCAGTGTTCCAATATCTCAGGGCTTGCCACAAACAAGAGGGAGAGAAGCTATTCTCCAAAGCACCTGAGGGCAGGACAAGAAGCTGTGGGTGGAAACTAACCAAGGAGAGAAGCAACCTAGAGCTAAGGAGAAATTTCCTGACAGTTAGAACAATTAATCAGTGGAACAACTTGGCTCCAGAAGTTGTGAATGCTCCAACACTGGAAGTTGTTAAGAAGATGTTGGATAACCATTTGTCTGAAAAATGGTATAAGGTTTCCTGCCTAAGCAGGGGGTTGGACTAGAAGACCTCCAAGGTCCCTTGCAATTCTGCTATTCTATTCTATTGATTCAGTCAGAACTGAAAAGCTCCTTGAATGAGAAGCAAAACATTTTCAAAGGGTTGCCTTTTGAAAAAGCATCTTTGGAACAATGCAAGGTCTGCATTTCCCCAAAGCCTAGCAAGAGCTAGAAAAGGTTTGCAGTCTCCTGACAGCCAACTTATTGGAGTAGAAAGTTCTAAGGCTAAGGAACCTGTCCTTTTTTGCCGCAGAAAGGCAGGGACTGTGTAGCCAGAACAAATGTAAAACTTTTCAGTGCTTTCAGTAATGAAACTGAGAATTAAAATACGTTGAGCTTGCACACAATAGGTCCAATTTCTTGTGAACTAGTACCATGCAACACATCTCAGATCCTGATAGGACTTTATTTTTTTGATTCAGTTACCAAGATACTGGAACTCTATATTGTTGCTCCCATATGCTCCCAGCAGAATCTTCTCTATCCAGCAAGTGATCATTGCAAGTGAAGATCATGCATTCCCTTCAATTAATGGGAATGAGATTACTGCCCTAAATAAAATGTGACTGTGGGAGTCCTTGGTGCTCTCTGAACTCGGTTGGTTTCTTGCAGGTATTTCATTACCCAACTAGGTAACCTTATCAGCCGCTCTGTTTAAAAATAACCCACTCTTGTCTAACACTGATGATGGCACCTGGTTTAGTAATGAAACATCCACAGGAAAATAATCAAGCTCAGAGAGCACCAAGGACCCTAGAGTTCAACCCTGAGCTACAAATATTCTTATATTGATAAAATGTTACTCTTTATATGTATGGTTACCTTCATAATGCTTAGGAACAAGAAAAAGTAATTGCAGCAAATTATGTATCATATGTTCTCCTTACGTGCAAGGGGCACACCCATAATGAGTGATGACAGGATGAGGCAGAAATTATGGTTTCTCACCATGCAATGATTGAGAGACTAAATGCTAACCTCATCTTCCTCCTGGGCACTATCATCATCATCGTCATCCTCGTCGTCCTCCTTCTCCTCGTTCTTGTAGTCAGGAGGAAGTGGTGGGCCAATCAGCTCCTCATCAGAGTCATCTCTTGATTCTTTGGGTGGTAAAGGAGGACCAACAAGTTCTTCATCCAGACTGTCTTCACTTTCGCTACTAGACATTTCTCTGAATGGAAGAATCATAAGAAACGAAATAGCTGATGCAGGTATTCTGACTATTAAGTGTTGAAGTCCCTAACTCTGTGATGGTGAACCTCTGGCATGCGTGCCAGAGGTGGCACACAGCACTCTCTCTCTGGGCACATGAGCCGTTGTCCCACTTCAGTTCTGCCGCGCACACGTGCCTCCTGCCGGCCAGCTGGTCTTCAGGTCTCTGTTGCACTTGTGCGGGGCAAGTACCAGGGCGTGTGCACACATGTGCACTAGACCAGGGACCATGCAGGGACTGGGTGCATTCACTGGGACCGTGCATGCATTGGATTTTGGGAGTTCAGGCATGCATGTGCACATATGGGTGCGCACTTGCGCTTTGCCCATTCAGTCCAGAAAAGATTAGCTATCAGTGCCCTAACCTGTCCCTTCTCTTTGTTGTTGTTCTTGTGTTCAGTTGCTAAGTCATGTCCAACTCTTTGCAATCTGATGGATCATAGCACGCACCCCCGTTCTCCATTATCTCCTGGAGTTGCCCAAATTCATTTTCATTGTGTTGGTGACATTATTTAAACAACCTCATCCTCTGCTGTCCCCTTTTCCATTTGCCTTCTATCTTTCCCCACATTGGGGTCTTTTCCACTGAGTCCACTCTTCTCATTAGGTGGCCAAAGCATTGGAGCTTCAGCTTCTCAAAGGGGCCTAATGAAAAAAAGATAGCCTGGAATGGAACTGGGGGATGTCTGTGCAAAGAAATAAGGAGAATGGGCAAGAAAGATGACCCAAGACAAATCCACACCTATGAGCCGGATTCAGAACACAGAGTTCTTGGAAACAACAAATAACTGGACTTCAATGCCTCTGGAGGACAAACCCGGGCACGGGGAGGAACAAATGTGGGCCCCCAGTGTTTCATTTTAGTTGGTAGGGTCCTGCAGGAGGCATCCATCCCACCTCCTCCCTCCCTCTGGCCAGCCCGCGGAGAACTACAATGCTGATCCGGCCCTCAAACAAATCCAGTTTGACACCCCCGGCCTAAGGTTTGCCAGAGCATAGAGGGATGTGCAAACACGAATGGGCTAATCGTGATGCTTGTCAAATAGTTAAATGTTTGGGGGGGGGGGGGAATGAAATAACTGATCTTGCAATACGTTTCCCTATGCAACATCTTACATTTCTGCAAAGAGGAAAACAATGATTCTCCTTGGGAGCTTTGTGGTAACCTGTGTTCTGACCTAGGCTTCCCCAAACCATGAAGCAGACTCCATGTGCCGACAAAAAATCCTTTTTATTAATTTACTGTGAATTCCTCTCATTCACATCCAGCAAAGTCTTTCAAGGGAGGATTTACAGTCACAGANCTGGGACAAGTAACGGGAGCTCACTCCATTATGCGGCACTAGGGATTCGAACTGCTGAACTGCTGACCTTTCTGATTGACAAGCTCAGTGTCTTAGCCACTGATCCACTGTGACCCTTCAACCACCTTAACGATTGGCAATATAAAAAAAGAAGGGGTGATATATGAAAGCTGCCAAATAGTAGCAAAAGCAGTGTCCCAGATGGGAATCAATGAGTAGAGGAAAATATTTGGTAGTCTCAAGGATGCTTTTTTTCTTCAAAAGGCAACTGGACTGTTTTTTCATTGAGGAAGATAAAGAAAACATTTCGCTTCTCATCTGACGGTGGAGGGGATGGAAGGATAAACGCTGGATCCTCCCAGGACCTATCTTTCTATCCCCTCAACCCCCATCATAAAAAAATGATGAAGAAAATGTTTTGTTCTTCTTCCTCAAAGAAACAACAGTCTTGTTCTAACCCAGGCTTCCTTAAAAAGCGAGAAGCAGAGTCTTGGTCCCGGCAAAGCCCCTTTTATTTACATGACTGTGAATTCCTTTCATTCACAGTCTGCAAAGCTTAGCAAACAGTCTTTCAGGGGAATAGTTATCCACACAAACCTTATCTCATTTGGAGAGCTGCCAGATAACTAGTTCCAAACGCAGGGCGAGGCAAAACTTGGCACAGAATCTCTTATAGTCACAAACAGAACTTTCCACTCTTGAAACGACTGAAGGAACAAATTGTTTCCTGCAAAAGCCCACTCCCCATTCGCTCTTCTTTTGTTTCCTATGGGAGGGGCCTATTACCTCCAAGGTGTGGCTTTACTGCTAAGTCGATCCTGTTTTCCTAGTTGTTCTTGTCTTCTGTGCATGCGCATACTGGGAACAGCTGTTCCTCTACCTCACTGCTGTGTAGCTCCCTCTCTGCCTCTGACACAGAGCCCTCACCTGCGCTTTCCTGAGCCCCCAGGACTGGCCCATGTTCCTCTCCAACCTCCTCACTGTCCACCTCTGCTGCCAGCTCTCCTGGCTACCGGTGGGCCACAACAAGTATAGTTTGGAGAAAAAAGCACCCTTGAGACAACTCTGACCTGGATGAATGAAAATCTCCACAGATAAAATCTTTGGTAATTCAGACACTGCATAAAACAGTAATCCAAGTATGATACACCTGAATCATCAACCACTGATTTGATGCCCTCAGTATTGAGAAATCAATTCATCCTGCAAACATTCATTATATGGACATTATGGATTTTAACAGCTTTTCTAGAAAGAAAGAAAGAAAGAAAGAAAGAAAGAAAGAAAGAAAGAAGGAAGGAAGGAAGGAAGGAA